TTTGGGGAAGCTTTTATGGTGGAAGGCAAAAAGCAGAGGCAGGCACATCCACCATGGCTAAGGAGCAGAAGCGAAGGAGGAGAGGTTGATGATGAGGGGGTGTTGCCACATTACTGTTTTTTTTTTTTGAGACCGGGAGTTCTCGGCTCTGTCACCCCAGGCTGGAGTGCCAGGTGGCGCGATCTTCTGCTCACTTGCAAGCTCCGCCCCTCCCTGGTTGTACCGCCCCTTCCTCTGCCCTCAGCCTCCTGAGTAGCTTAGGACTACAGGTGCCCCGCCACCTTGCCCTTGGCCTTTTAGTTGTTTGTATATTTTTAGTAGAGACAGGGTTCCACCGTGTTAGCGCAGGATGGTCTTGAATTCCTGACCTCGTGATCCGCCCATTCTCGGGCCCCTTCCCAAAGTGCTGGGATTTACAGGCTTCAGCCACTGCGCCCAGCCTGCCACATATTTTAAGACGACCAGATTCTCACCGAGATACATCACTATCATAGGAAGATAGCCCCACCAATAGCTGTTGGAGGGACCGCAAGATCAAAAACAAGCCTCCCACCAGGCTCATGTCCAGCGACTTTGGGGGATTACATCCAGCATGAAATTTGGAGCAGGTCTGTGGAGAGATCAAAGACTGCAATACCTGTATTTACCTGGGCTTTGAGAGGGGGGTAATGCGCTGTCCTTAGACACAGCCAATCGGTTAATGAATAGAGAGGAAGGGGGACAATATTGAGGGCTTATTCAGAGAACACAGATGCATTGATTCAATAAGGGAGATGAGGTGAGGAAGATTGAAGAATCTAGGATGGCTGCCATGTTTCTGGTTGGGTGATGATAGTGTATCTACCACGGTAGAGAATAAATGAAGAGGATCACTCTTGTGAGCAAGGTGACATGTTCTACTTTAAATATGTTGAGTTTGAAATGGATATCTGGGTGGGCTGGACATATTGACACGTGGGTGGTAGTTGAAGCTAAATGCATGGATAACATTTTTGGAAAAATAATAAGTGCACAATAAATGTCTGTTAATGATTCCATAAATCATTACGGTCCCCTTGCTTTCTCTTCTCTGGTGTTCTTCATGTTTATTTTGGAGTTCCACCAGAGCCTCCAAGCCAAGCTTGTCCAACCCTCAGCCTGTGGGCTGCATGCAGCCCAGGATGGCTTTGAATGAGGCCCAACACAAATTTGTAAACTTTCTTAAAACATTATGAGGGTTCTTTTTGTGATTTTTTTTAAAGCTCATCAGCTACTGTTAGTGTTAGTGTATTTTATGTGTGGCCCAAGACAATTCTTCTTCCAGTGTGGCCCAGGGAAGTCAAAAGATTGGACACCCCTGCCTAAGTCCTCTCTGTCTTTGAATGTCAAGACTGTGGCCCCCTTAAGGATCTTTTGGATGTCCTATTTTTGATAACTTAAAGTTCTTATATCAGTCTTGCAAGCTGGCCCTCAGACCATCTCACCACAGCCCCTCATCCACATTGACTTAGGAAGAGAGGGCATTGGGAGTGTGAAAAAGAAAAACTGGAAGACTGTTTCTTTTTTCTTTTTTTGTTTGTTTTTTTGTTTCGTTTTGTTTTGTTTTTGGAGATAGAGTCTTGCTCTGTCCCCCAGGCTGGAGTGCAGTGGTATGTTCTCGGCTCACTGCAACCTCTGCCTCCCAGGTTCAAGTGATTCACATGCCTCAATCTCCCAAGTAGCTGGGATTATAGGCGCGCACCACCATGCCTGGCTAATTTTTGTATTTTTACTAGAGATGGGGTTTTGCCATGTTGGCCAGGCTGGTCTCAAACTCCTGACCTCAGGTGATCCACCTGTCTCGGCCTCCTAAAGTGCTGGGATTACAGGCATGAGCCACTGTACCTGGCCTGTTTCTAGTACATTGTCTGGTTTCTATTTCTCTCCTCTCTGTGAGTAGAGTTCTCAAAAGTGTAACCTATACTTGCTGACAGTTTCTCACTTTCTAGTGGTAACTTGTAATCTGGTTCCCACCTTGCTCACTCTTCTGAAATTGCTCTCAAATGTCACTAGAGACTTTGTCACTGCCAAGCCCAATGCCTCTTCTCTCTGTTCCTGTTGGCACTGTTAGAACCTCCTCCTTAACAGTTTCTCCTTCCTTGGATCCATGACATCTCACTTTCTTTGTCTCCTTCCTGCCTGTCTGGTGGATTCTCTTTCACTCTTTGGGGGTCCTTCTTCTTCCCATCCCCTAAACATAAGTATTCCTCACTCTCTGTGCCAGGCTCTCATTTCTCTGTGCAGTATTTGTTGGGAGCTACCCTGTTCTCATGGCTTCAACTCACCCTGCCCTGGCAGCAGTGACCTCCTTTCTCTCTCTGGTTCTGACCTCTCTCCACAGCTTCCAGCTCTGAACTCATCACTTCCTCTTTCCCCACCTCAATCTCCTCACCAGGTGTGATCCACCCCGCAGGTTCCCCTATGCCCATGAATGACCTCGCAGTTCTGATCACTTGACTTGAGACTCTAGTATGATCTCTGCAGCTTCCCTCTTTTGCTCATCATGTCAAGTTGGCTTCAAAGTTTTTGCATTTTCTTTTGGTTTTTCTGTACTCCAATTCATTTTCTGTGTTCCACTTTTCACCACTGCCACGCCGACTTGGGCTCTCATCTCTTCATGCTTATATTATTGCAATTGTTTTCTATCTAGTCTACTTGCCTACTATAACCCCTTGGTTCGAACTATTTTGTCACCTCCAGATTAATTTTCCTAAAATTCCATAGCTTTCCCCTACCCTGTCCTTCCCAAGAACCTTCAATTGCTCTCCATTGCCTACAGAAACTCTGGCCTGACCACAAATCAGCACAACTCTGTGTTTTTTCCAGGTGCTCCCCTAACACAAACACTGCCTATGGTGCCTAACCTTTAGTCCAGTCCTTCCAGCTTCTCCAATGAGGCTACTTGAATGGATATTTACTTATCTTATGACTGTTAGCGGTTAAACTCAGCTACATTCCTAGTTTCTTTCCTTTTTTACCTGAATTTATAGCAACTCAGTATGGTAACACTGGTTATTGATTAGCAGTTAAAGGCTTATGATGATCAGGAATGAGGAAATAATTATATTCTTCTTTAACAAATGCTGGGGGTGGGAGTGAATTAAAACCTCTCAAAACATAGATTCAGGAAATTAAAGAAGTCTTTGGTGATGAAAGGGTTGAGAACCATCACCCTGCACTCTAATCTAGTAAATGGGACAGTTTGATGCTGTTTCCCAAGTGAACTTGTATTTTCATGTCTCCCCAGGACGTTCCCTCTGCCTTAAATGGAACAGAGTCCTGAGGACCATCTCTCAGCACCTGAATCTTCTGCTTCCTTTGGGACCTTAATCAGATGTTACCTCTTTCCTCCCACATCTGCTAGGAGCCCTTTGAGTAGAATGACCTCTCCCTTTCGCAGCCTTCAGTACCTCCCGCACTTCGCTGCGGGTTCCGGCCTTATCTTTCCTTGCAGAGAAAGCCGCTGCAGGTGGGCACGGTGTGCTGTGCATCTCGCACCCAGCACCGCACCTGGGACTTAGGAAACGGTGAACAACACGGGAATTGTGCCCAAAGATACAGTCCTGTGGCCCAGGGAGCCCAGGCCTACTCCGCCCCAATCTCACTTCCAGGCGCCGCCTTCAGCGCTGCCTGCAGGGCCACTGGGCCGGTACTGAATTCATTTCCACTTCATTAACTCGGCCCCAGTCCCGCCCCCCGGCTCCAGCTCTCGTAACCCATCTCTGACACGACCGCCTCCCTTTTCTTCCTTCTCCCTTCCCCTGTCACCCTGCCAGCTCAGCTCCTATCGCGTCGCGTATCGTCTCTTCATCTCTCTTTCTCCCCGGGTCTGTCTGGGTCTCTGTCTTTGGGTATTTCTCTCTGCGCCTGCAGCTGTCTGGGTCTCCGCTTCCTTGCCCCGCACGCCCCGCCCCCTGCCCAAGCCCCTCCAATCCCGGCGGCTCGAGCCTGGCGCTCCACTCTCCCATTGGTCCGTCCGGAGCCCCCCGCCCCCGCCTGCCCGGCCCCCCTCCGGGCCCCTCCATTCACACAAAGTTTGGCTCCGGCGCTGCGGAGGGAGGGGGCGGCCCGGCCCGGCCCAGCTCTGCCCCCGGCCGGCCCGACCCCGGCCCCGGCCCCTGGACAAGCCCTTATCTGATCCCAGCTCCGGGTTTAAGAGTCCCGGCCAGGACCGTCGCACAGCTCTGCTCCTTACTCCTGTCCACCCCGTCAGTCCATCTGTCCCGCTGCCCCGCGGCCCATCCAAGGGGCCACTTCACCTCGGACCCAAGGTAAGACCCTGGCCCTGATGAAGGAGTTCTGCCGCCCGGGCCAGGTCCTGTCCCCCTAACTCTCCAGAGACATCGGGGTCCCAGCTCCTCAGTCCCTACCCTGCCTGGCCTTAGCGGTACCGTCTTGTTCCCCTGCCTCCCGCCTTGGGCAGTCCCAAACTGAGCCTCCTGGGAAGGGCTCCCCACGAGGACACTAGCCAGGCTGGTCACCTCAGCCCTTTCATCTAAGGAAGGGGCTTTCCCGATGCCCCCTCCCACTGGGCAGACCACCAGTTGCATCCCCGCTCCTCTAGTTAATACAGTGACAATCACACATCACCTGGCACCCCATACACAGGCACAGCAGACAGTGCGCCCTCCTCCCCATATGGACAGGTTACTCCCATCCCCAGCCCCTCCCCCACTCCCCATACAGTGACAATCACATAGTGACACCCATGATCGCTAGTTCCTACATGGGGAGAGAAACAGATACTGGCAGCTTAGACCGGGGAGACACCAAAGCCTGGTGTGCTCCAGACCCCTGCCCACCCAATCTCTTCCTTCCATTCTGAGTGGCTCCCATTTTAAGACATCCCTCCTCATTGCCCCTCACCCTCACCCCAGCTGTTTCAGACTGAGATTTCCAGAAGGAAAGGAGCAAGGCCACTTCTGCTAGAGTGAGAAGGGCAGTTTGGGTTCTATAAACTCACCCTCCAGACGGAGATGCCCCTTCCCATTCCATCCCTCCTCTTACCAGAACTAACCTGGGGCACCTGTGTTACGGAAGACATGAAGGATGGAACTTCCTGATTTGGGGGAGGAGAAAAAAGAATCCTTCTACCAGGAATGGGTAGAAGGACAACACTGGGAAAAAGTGGGGGTGGGTTCTGGTGTCTTGAGGTTTAATTCCAGTGAGTGCCCCAGGCAGGGTGAGGCAGATGGGGAAGTGGAGATGGTGAAGAAGCTGGTGCAGATTTGGACCCCAAATAGGTCAGTGCTTAAAGCCTGCTTCTGTTGCTTACCAATACAAATTCTGACTAAAGATGTTTGGCCAGTCTGCTCTTGCTGTGGTGTTTGAATTTCTTTTCTCCCCACTGGGATTGCTTTAGGCTGTCTGGGTGAGCGGGAGATAATGACAGGAGATTTAGGGCCCCCATGTGAGAGATGGCCTTGTTTAAGGGTGCTGAGGAGGGCCTGGAGTGGTTGTCATGAAATCAGCCCCAGGAGGGGTGAGCAGCCGCCACTGAGTTCAATTTAGTTTCATCCTGAAACTCTCTCCCTAATCTCCAAGGATTTTTGAACATATTCCTGGCATGATGGTGGGTACCATCCTGTGCCAAGTGGTAGGGCTTGTACATTTCTCCAGGGGTAGACTGGGTATGGGGGACCAAGTTTGTAAGGAACCAGGCATCCTGACTCATAACTGGTTCTTCAGGGAGGAAGAAATGAGGGAGGAGGGGGACGGAAGGCATCATACCAGGGAGAGGGTCCAGGGCTGGATTGCGGAGGCAATAGGCACGGCACAGGCAGTGCCAACTCCTTTCCCCGCTGCCTCCCCCAAGTCCTTTGGTGGTGGTGGCAAGGGAGGAAGGGAGGGAGAGTGTGTTGGGGGGTGATCTGGGCCAGTCCAGCCTCCCAAAGCCCTTGCCAACCTGGGTCCTGAAAGGAGCTGCTGTTTTCTGAGCCATCCCCCCACCCCCCACCCAGAGCCTGAGCAGCCAAGTTGTCTCAGCGGATATCAAATGGCAATGACTCCACTGATGGAGGGTGGGTGGGGAATGGGAGTGGCAGGGGTAGCAGGGTTATGGTTCCAGTCCCTCTGTGGCTCTAATGCAGAACCCCTCTGCTATCCCTTACCCTGAGGAAAAAAAAAATCTGTCTCCCCCAACATCTGACCCACATCCAGTCTATGGGTGCATATGTTTGTGTGAGGGGATTAGTGATCTGCACGTTGGTATCCCCCACCTCCTCCATATGCCCCATGGAACCACATTCTAGCTCCCTCCCACCTGCATCACTGTGCATAAGCTCATTTACAGCTCCAGCTTGGTTGGCGTGAGCTACAAGGAAGTGACTGGCAGAGGACCCAGGGACCTTCCTTCCCTTGACCTTCCTGGGGACCAGAGAGGCTGGGACACTTGGATCACAGTGGGCTCAGATGAAGTCCTCTGGAGTCATTCTGTGATTGGTGGGATGGGCATTTAAAGCTCTAGCGGGTGGGTCATGCAGAAAGATCCGTTTCCTCAAAGGATACTCCTGAGCCTCCTAGTAAAATGCTTGGTTTCTGCACACAAGATGGAAAGATAGGCCGAGTCTCCTGCCATTGGTCAGGAGGAAAAGAGACACTGGGCAATGGAGTCCCTAAACTTTCCTGCCACAGGTTATTTAGGACGGAAGAAAAAAACCTCCACTCTCCCTCCCTTCCTCGGCCTAGATTCTTCTCTTGCCTGACTGGTCAGTGCTACTGTCCAGGCTGAGGCCAAACTGTCCAGGATAGCAGTGGGGCCCTGGAAGGGGGCAGAGAAGGAATCAGCCAAGGCACATCATTGAGAAGAAACTACAGAAAGATTGGAGAGGAAAGGGAGATTTAAAATCTAAGTGTTCTAGCACCCAATGATGGGTGGTTGGCTGGGCAGCTCCTGGGAATGAGAGTTTGCCATGTCACCTCAGACTCTGGCAGGCTGAGTTCAATGCTTTTCTTCCCTCTTCTGAGTTTAGCCGACATGTTTGCCACCATTCTTTATGGAGAGAGTGCATCTGGTGGCCCCTCTTCCTCCCCTCCCCCATCAGAACCTTGAAAGGGCAAAGAGAAAGGGATTGTGGGAAATGCCCTCCCGTGGGTGTCTGCCAGCTTGGAGCCTGGATTTGAGGTAGTGGGGGAAGGGAGGGACTGGCTCTGGAATGTGAGAGAGAAGTAAGAACAGAACTTTGTGGCATGGAGAAGGAGGTTGGAGAAGCAGGAGCTAGAGAGGACTGAATCAGACCTCCAGCCTCCAACAAGGTGCAGCACAGAAAGAGTATACGTGGCCATTGTGCAACTTTTCCGATGGCAGAAGACCTGGGGAAAGGATTGTGGCTGTAGCTGGAAGGACTTAGGTTAGATCTCAGGAAGCACATCCCAGAAAAGGAAAGACATTTGAAATGGAGACTGGGAAGGAAAGAGAGACCACTTTCTGGACCAAAAAACCAAACCAAACCAAAACAAAACCCACCAACTAAATCCCCAAACAAAGAAGCCCATCCTTAAAGCTTCCAAGAGGAGTGATGGAGCTCAGAGCACAGGGATTATTGTGACAACTGTCAGAGGCCTCTCCTGGGTGACTGTTGCACCTCTCTCTTGCTGTTCCAGGGTTACTTTCCGCTCTGAGAGACAGCAGGCACTATGGTTAAGAGCACAGCCTTGGAGTCCGACTTTGTGGGATTCAGTCCTAGTTTACCACTTAGTAGCTAAAGAAGTCTCATCCTCACAATAGGGCTCATAACTGCTGTGAGGATGCACAGTGACTATTATAAAGGGCTTGGAATGGTCCTTAGTCTGTAAAAAGTGGAGTTGTGGGCCATTACGTTTCTCCCACCACTCTAACGTTTTCTACTCTGTCATCTTTCCTGGTTCCTAGGCTTTGTCCCAGCCCTTCGTTGTGGGTTTGGTTTTGTTTTGAGATTCTGTCCTAGGTTTTTTCTTCCCACCCTTCTGGAGTTTGGAAAGGTAGAAGTAGTATCAAGTAGTTTCAGGTGAAGTTCCTCCCTTGATTCCAATAGGCTGGGCCTTGCTTGAGGTGGGGTCTCCACACCGACAGCCCCTGTTTTCCACAAGTTTTTGCCAAGCAGATGTCCTGTCTTCAGATTCAATAAATGAGAACTGAGCTGTTGAGCTTTCACCAAATAGTCTCTTTTCCCATTCTCAGCAACTTCTCTTTCAAAGACTTCTGTCGGTCAAAGACAACCCCCACATCTCATTCCTACTCCCATGGCCCTGCCTATCACTCTTTTCTTCTTCATCCTGCCTCTCCCTCTCCCAGCCCAGGTTTGCCCCCACAACTTCTCTCAGATTTATATGCCCTCCTCTTCTTGTGTCTCCTGATTGGCCTGTTCATCCCATCAGCCTGGATGCCCACAGCAGCCTCCTTAATGACCTCTCTGACTCCAGCCCCCTCTCTCCTCAATTCCTTCCCTATACCCTACAACGAAATTATCACTGGAATTATCATTATGAAGCATCAGTTTTATCTTGTCTTTTCCCTACCCAGACACATCCATTGGCATTGGATAAAAATTTCCCAATCACGGTCTTCAAGAGACTTTATGTCTTTCTCCCATCCCCTCCAGCCCCACATCTTGTGAACTGCACTCTTCAGACCCTGTTCCTGGGGAGCATATCCCAGGCAGTCTCTGAGCCATGCTCGTCCCCGCACTCTGGGCCCTCACAAAGGCCATTCCAAGTCTCACCCCTCCCGCAGACCTCTATTCTCCTGTTTCCCTCTCTGCTCTGCCATCTTGCTTGTCACTTGCATCTGCGACTCGGCCCAGGGTTCCCCATGCATGGCGATGTTGGAGGAGACATCTTGTCTCCCTCATTAGCCGAGGGTTTCCTCTAGGGTAGGGTCTGTGTCTCTGTCAGATTGGCAAAAGCATCTCTTCTCTCTCTGGACCCTCTGGCACCCAGCAAAGGGCCTGGCTTCTAAGACACAAAGTAGCTACTGTCCAGTTTGACTCTAGGTAGGACACATTTCTGATTGCTTATTCTTGGGGGAGGAACCTGACTTTGGAGGTTGATGTAAGCATCCTGCAGCAGGTTGTGTATAGGATCCTACTATCTAATTCTATAGGAGACCTCAAGAGAAACCCCTCTCCTACCAACGACCCCATCCTGTAGACAAGGCTTCACCTTAAGATTACAAGCCTTAGAACACCCAATTTATAGTCTTCTAAGCATTGTTGCTCCACCCCCCCCACACACAAATGCAGGTCTGTAGGCCCCAGAGAGCCTTTCTCCCCTCGCCACGGCGCTCTGACTTCAGCCCGATGCTGGGCTTGTCAGCAGCAGCATCTGGAGTGAAAAAGGGGGATAAAGGTTCAGAGTCTAGTCTGAGGCAGCCCCATTGTCCTGAGCGTGCCTCTGAGCAGGGGCTTGCAAGGTGGGAGACACTTCCCAAGTGGGGTATAGGTCTGACCTCTTAGTGTGGCATTCTCCCTGGACCAGCCTCCTCAGCTCCACCTCTGATCCCAGTTCCAACTGGTAGAGCCAGGCACACTCCTTCTCCACATGTCTAAACCTCCTGGTTGACCCTGTGATAAAAAAGATATGGGCAACTGGTAAGAGGGGAGGGTGAGTGTGTTAAAGTCTAGAGCACTGGTTCTTAAACTTTTTGACTTCAGGACCACTTTACATTCTAAAAAATTACTGAAGACTCCAAAGAGCTTTGGTTTGTGTGGGTTCTATTTATGAATATGTACTATGTTAGAAATGAACACTGGGACACATGAAATAATTATTAACTATTGCATGTTAACAAAATGATGTATTTTTAATGAAAAACAGCTGTATTTCCCAAAGTAAACACACAAAAAATTAATAAGAAGAGTGACATTGTCTTATATTTTCACAAATCTTTTTAAATGTTTGGCTTAATCAAAGACAGTTGGTTTCTCATCTGCTTCTGCATTTAGTATGTTGCAATATCATATGTCATGTAGCTTCTGGAAAACTCTGCTGAACACTATGAAATAATGAAAGTGAAAAGGGCAAATACTGTATTGTTAGCGTTATTACGAAGACAGGTTTGACTTTGTAGAGCCTCCAGAAGGGTCTCAGGAACCCTCAGGAACCCTCCAAAAGGGTCCAGGGAGCATACTTTGAGAACTGCTAGTCTAGAGGAACCTCAGAAGACAGTTTCAAAAACCTGGGCCAATTTGAATGTCCTGGCTGATTTCCTTCAGCTGCCATGGTCTTTTGAATGTTCTCACTAGGGAGGTATTATGGGGTAGTGGTTCATCATGTAAGTTCTACCTCTGTTCTACTACTCACCAGCTACGTGGCCTTGGGCAAATTATTAATATCTCTGTGCTTCAGTTTTCTCATCTGTAAAATGGGGCTTTAAAAAGCACCCACTTTTAGAGTTGCTGAGAATTAAATGACCTAATAGGAAAGGGCTCAGTGTAGTGCTCAATGATATGAGATGTCATTACATTCCAGAGTCTTGCCCCTGAATCCACTGCGCATTGTCCTGAAGACAGGGAGCTGCAGAGGAGATCCATCCAATGCTACACAGACGAGCTCAGCCCAGAGAGCGAAAGTGACTTGTGCAAGTTCCCAGAGAGGGTGGACAGGGTTGCTGGGCCCTGAATCCAGGAGTTCTAAGGCCTAGCTCTATCTCTGCTCTCCCCGCCAGAATTTTTTTGTGGAGAGTGGAGGAGTAGGGTCTTGAGACGGGGAAGGAAGCAGACCTTACCTTTCTTTTCCCAGCAATCTCAGGTGAGCCCAGGACCAGGGCAGTACAGTGGGAAGCCTTGAGGGCAGATAGCAGGGAGAACTTCCGACACTGACAGCAACTGAAAAGAGGAGAAAGAAAGCCAGGAAGACATTCTCAAGCCCAGAGATTGTTTTGACTTTCCTTGTGGGGAGCAGTTCTGCAAAGTGCTCCCGGTCTTCTCTTCCTGGGGCTCGTAGGAAGTCTGTGATTGGGTGACCCTGCTTTTCATGAGGTGCTCAGTTCCGCTCACTGCCCTCCTCTCAGCTGTCCCACCACTCAAGGCCCAGGAGCCTCTCCCCATATCGCACCTTCTGGCCCTGCCCTTTGTGCTGAGGCCCCACAAATCACAACATGGTGCCTTGAAAAAGGCAGTTGGTGGTGCTAAGGGCATTAATGAGGATAGGGGTGCCTGCTGGGGTTCCCTGGGCAGAAGAAGGGAAGCCTCTCCCCACAGACTACAGAACAGGAGGAGACAGATGGGGAGATAGACACATACTGGGAAGAGCTAGTCCTGGCTCATTGATCCTTCAACCAAATTGCCCTGAGCTGGGCTTCCAGCTCCACCTTCATTAGTTCAGGCTGAATTCCCTGGAAGAGCACAGGTGGGAGGCGACTCTTGTCCCTAACCCCTGCTTCCCCGGTAGTAGCTTCTTCAGCCTCCAGAACCACAGCAGATGGAGATCTCAAAGAAGGTGGCACCCCAAGTAAGTAGAACCCCAAAGATCCCAAACCCTGAGCACATGCCCTTTCTGCTGGGGTTGGAGAACTTGCTATGTATTACTCCGTTTTTCTTCTCCTGCCCACACAATTCCTTTGCATAGATGGTAAAACTGAGGCAAAACGTGGGAGGACTCAGACTGCCCACCCACTTCTTTCTAGAGCCCAGCCTGGGACCAAGGGGCCTGGCATCCCGCAGCCCCTCCCCCTCCACTCCTACCAGTCCCTGTAGCTTTTTCCATTTGGAAAGTCCTTTCTGGCGAGTGGCAGGTTTGGAGGCCCTAGTCTAGTCTCCTCCCCTGTCTCCTGGGCAGTGCCCCCAGGGGAGCCCCTGTGGGCCAAGATCGCCTCAGTCTCAGTTCTGGGCCCCCCTCACCCTCTACCAGCAGTCCCCCGGCTCCCGCCCCTGGGCTGTGGGACAGGGAGAGGGCTGAGGGGCTGGCTCTGCATACTAATGTCCTGCCCATTGTCAAAGCCCCTTTGTGCCAGGGAGCTCCATTGAGGCGGCTCCGGGGCGGGCACAATGGGGGCTCTGTCCCCTAGTTCCCCCAAACAGTCACCTGCTTTCAGAGCCTCCCCCACCACCCCCCCTTTGCCCCAGTGTCCGGAGGGCCCAGAGAGCACGGGGGAGTGGGCCCTGGGCCAGGGGGGATGGGCAGGAGGCAACCCCCCCACCTCCTCTGGGCAGGCTGGGGAGATGGGCATTTGACAGGGCAGGCTGCAGAGGGCACACAGAGGGGAGAGGCCCTAGGCTCACAGGGGCAGGGGCAGTCTGTGGGGGAGTTGGAATGCAGGTTCTGTGAGGCCTGAGAAGGGGAAGGGGCGCTCAGAGCCTGCCCACTCCTTGGTTCCATATGCCCAGCCTGGGCCTGTGGCTGCCACCTCTCCTCCTCCCACCACAGGACTCCCCGAGGCTCATATATGCAGAGACACACAGGCATACACTCATCTATGCGGCCCCACACACGGCTCCCAACACACACCCAAACGGATGTGCCCAGACACAACACGCTGAGCCCAGCACACAGACCGCACGTCCACACCACCACCCCCTGGCATATGCACCTGCACACCCACCCTCCCGCCACCCCACCCCCTTCCCTTTTGCACCCCTCCACGGCCGCAGGCATCTCAGCACCATGTCCCTCCCCCCCATGCCCCTGCTGCCCTCTGCTGCTCTGACACAGGTTATAACAAGTTTGCACTTGTTGTGACCTTAAGAATGTGGCCCTGAGGCTGAAAATGTCCTGCTGCCCCAGACCGCACCTGCTTATACGTTAACCATGGACACAGCCTCTGCTGCACTATAAGCATGGCTCCCATTCCTGCTCCAACCATGGAGACAGTTAGGTGGGCAGGCCCCCTACCCCAGAGCTGAGTCTAGTACCCTGGACTGAGCTCTATGTGAATAACGAAAGCCCCACCTGGCCTCGCTGGCACAGGTCCAATGTGTCTGTCTTTGCCTTTGCCCAGGGCACATAGGTATTTCCTAGCCCTTCCTGGCCCTGGGAGGTAGACGGAACAGTTATCATTTTCCCAGAAAGGCTCTGAGAGGTGAGATGATGGTTTCCAGGCAGCTGGTGGCAAGGCTGGGACTAGAATGGAGGTCTCTCGCCTCTAGCTTTTTTGTGTTTTTTTCCCCCAACTATTTGTCTCTTGGTTTTGCTTAGATGACCCCACCCCCAACCCTATCTACAGTTCCAACCGAGCTTTCTTTTAGCCACCTTTTTTTGGGAAGGAGTAGGGGCATGGTGAGGGGAAGGGGTGGTGAGAACGGGTCTAGGAGCCTTAAGTGGGCTTCTGGGTCTAGAAAGAACCTCCGAAAGTCACCTTGACCCTTGCACTACCCCTAGGCAGAGTGAGCCTACCTCCTTTCACTTCCCACCCTCCTACCGGCCCCACTTCTGCTACGAACTCTGGATCACTGGAAAGTAACACCACAGCCTTCTTAGCTAGGGTTTGGAGTTGGGGATTTCTATCAATCATAAGTCCTTCATGCTGCCTAGCACTGGCCTCCCCAGTTGTTACCCTATGTCTGCATGAGAATCTGTAGGCTGTATCTATGGCCCGCCTGCTATTCTGGTCCACAGCATCTTCTAGCAGTCGGGAGCAGATGCCCTAAAAAGGGAAGACAGGAAGGCCCATTGGGATCCCAGAGACTTGAGGGCTGACTGCACAGTGGTGTGCTGGAGCCTGGGAGGGTGGATGGGGTCATGGTTGCAGAAACTCTGTTAGATAGAGAAGTAAGCTGATATTGGTTTGGTCATCAGCAAATATTATTGAGTGCTAATCTCCATGATGTTTCCTCACATCACAATTGTATGGGAGAACCTCAGGGCCCTTCTATCCTTCTCCCTTCCCCTCATCTAGAATGCTTCCCCTCTGGCTACTGGATTCTCCTTAAGCTGCCTCATCCATCTTCCTTTGTGCAGGAACACGCCTCCCCCAGCCCTTACACTCTGGCATGATTCTTTTGCCTCCAAATGTTTCCTACTGGAGAAAGAGAACTTCCTAATGTATAACTTCAACTTTCCCTGCTGTGCTCGGGCAGTTAGTTACCATACGAGACAGAAGACAGTGAGACACTCATCTCTGAATCTAGTTCTGTATCTAGTCAGCGTCCTCATGCCATCCCTACGCCATCCTCCTTCTTAAGGGAGGAATGTGAATAAGGAATAAGTAAAAAGTTGAAAGATTGCCTCCCAGAGTGGTGGTGAGCTCCCTAGACTTCTCTGAGTGAGGGTCAGAGGCTGCTCTTCATGCAGGAAACAGGAGCCCCAAGAAGGAAAGGGAGCTGAGAGGACACCTGTCAGGGAAAGAGGCTCAATTCTCTGAATAGGAATGACAGGTACAGAGTACCTCTGGGTCTCCAGCCCCATCAAGGGTACAAATAAGAAGAAATTGCTCAGATACCAACAGGTAAATTTTGACTTAATTGGAAGAATTCCCTGGGCATAAGGGGAGGGATAGAAAGAGGTGGATAACTCATTGCCCTGATGAGAAGGAAAGGTCCCCCTTTAGTCACCTACTGAACAAAGCTTGAGTGGCCTGGAAGATAGTTCCAATGACTCTCAGAGCCCCTATGGGGTTTCCAGTGGCCTCAAAGGAATCCCTTGATCATTTCCACAGAGCCCAGTAAGAGCATCACTGAATGCCTCCTCCTTGTGGACCTCACTATTTGTGGCTTATTCCAGCTCTTCTTGTTGGGCCAGCTACTGCAGGGATGAGGGAGACCCTGAGACCTACTAGGTGGGAGGGCCAGATTGAAGATAATGGGCTGTGGCTGGGTTGGCTGGGGAAGAGCTTCTGTGGATAGTGATCCAAGGCTGGCTCCACAGAAGCTGGCACTTTGGGACCCCAGGGTGAGGAAAAGGATCTTGTAGGAAAACAGAAGTTGAGATGAAGAAGAAGGCCAGGGTTGTTGCTGTGATTCGGATTGTTAAACATAACATGGTAACCGCTAGCGTGTGTGATCTTGGAATTACCATCTTTTTTAGTGCCTTGGCTTTCCTCTTTGAAAATGTGGGGCGCTATATGTGATGGAGCACAGAGGCTTCCCAGCTCATGACAGTCTGATGCACCCGGTCAAAATGGCAAGTTGAGAAAGCAGACTTTTAAGCGATTCAGCAGGCCTGGGTTCGACTTGCCAGTGCACTCTTATGAGCGTCTCAAGCACAAAACATGGGGCAGTTAAGTTACCCATGTAAGTCATCGTTCCACGTTCATCTGAGGGCAGCTTTGCCCTCATAGGGAGGCTTAGGATGGCGCCATGGCATGGAGCACCCCGCACGGATGCTGGTGCACTGTAAGGCCTGAGAGTTAGGAAGGTTCAAATTAACATGGTCGTGGACCCAGAGCGATCAGCCAACGGTTGCGGGTGCAGGGCAATCAGGAACGGAAGCTTTTCCAGAGAAAAGTGAACTAAGCTGAAGTAAAGGGGACGAGAAACTTAGCAAGTGGTGAGGGAAGAGTGTTCCATTGGAAGAGGCCCGCAATTATTTGCCTAAAATAAGCATTGAAACTATGTTCAGAACTGAGAGGTTCTTGTGGGCTGGACATGGATGCATGTGTGAGTGGGGCGTACAGATCGACAACCTGAAATGTAGGGAGGATTACCATACGGATCTCTGTTTAACTGTAATTCTAGGGTTCAGAGATAGCGGTCACCTCCATGACTCTCCTCTTTTCCATACTTGTCGCTCATACCCCTCTCCAAGAATTTGTCTTCTCCTTGGTCACACAGACGCACAAGGACCACCACTGGGATTCCCACTGAGGACGACCCGTGGCCGGTGCAGGGAGGACCGACAGAGGACTTTAGTTCAGAGTTGTCTGCTCTGGCAAGTTTTGGCTTAGCTGAAGTTTCTGCCTCTGTCCGTTGTGTACCCACACTACCCGAGAGAGAGGTACCTTCCCACAAAAGGACGCTGCCAGATATTATTCACTGAGGCCATACCCTAACCTAGCACTCCACTGTGGAAGGCCTCAGTTTTCCACATCTGCCCCCCCCCCCCCCTCTCATTGTATGGAGTTGGAAAGGTTGACAAGGGTAGGGCTGAGCGCAGCCTGCACGAGAGCAGGATAGGTGAAAAACCTCGAAGGAACAGATGCCAAGGAGCCTGAACTCAGGCCCAAAGATGTCCAAACACGTTGAAACTGATCAATGGAGCTCAAGAAGGACAATTCCGAAGAATGAGTGCAGGTGGCCATGAGAACAGGCGGCCTGAAGGGGAAAACTAAAGTTAGATGATAGTAAAAACAATCCTACAGGCTCTTTTAAGTCAAGAAATAGCAGGGACTGAGAAGGATAAAGGATGAACAAAATACAGATTAAGAAGCAGTCCAGAAAAGGTTCTCTGTTTGGGAAGATGGGGATGGTCCTTCCTGGAAGGCGTGGAGCTGATGAAAAAACCTCTACAGGAGCCGGCCCTGGGGGTGCTCTCACAATGGGGAGTAGCTCTTCTGCCTCCCCTACCCGCCACTACCTCTTGGGCCCTCCACCAACTAGGTCCAAGCCTCCCCTCATTTCCAGCCAACACCACTTCAAGTTCAAAGACAGGAAAGTGTACAGAGAAGGGCAATTCAGCTGGGATCTGGTCAGCCTGCCCCTCTTCTCTCAGGTGGAGAACCCTGTCTTGGCCCTGGGACTCCAAGGAATAGGTCTCATCATTCCCTCCCTAGTTTCTCAAACTCTTCTGGTAGATCAGGTGACAACTCAGTAGTCTTCACCCCAAGAACCTTATCTCCAGGGCCCTGGTCGTCCTGGGCCTTGAGAAGGCTGCC